CATGTTCTTTTTTTTTTGTTTTTATAATAATTAGCTTGATTTTTCACGAAGCGTACAACGGCGTCTTGCGGCGCTTCTTCCAATTTTCTTACTGAAAAAGAGTCTGTAACGTCAATACAGATGCGAGAAGTATCTCGCCTATCTGAATTGCAAATTTCATTTTCTTAATGGTACTGGAATGTAAAACACGCTTTTCAACTTCGAAGGAACTTTCGAACATTTGCTTCTTATACCGCGATATGAAGAAACGAGCAGTCTTAAATTGCTACTTGCGGGTAAAAATGTCGAATATTATTATCGTCGCATTTTTATTCTTTTCCTTTAAGTATATATTATTATTAACATTATTCTGACAGATTTAGAACAAGATCAAATATAGAAATAAAAATATTTTTGCGAGAGCGAATTGCGTAAAGCGCGTGTAACTTAAAAATAAACAGACAGCAAAAATAAATATTTTATATTATATTAACATTATATTAAATTATATTAAATTATATAATTATTATTATATCATTAATATATTATTATATCATATTAAAATTTTTGATATTTTCTATAACAAAGTATATAAAATTTTTTTCTAACAAAAATGTCGAAAAACTTATACACACACACACATGTATAAAGTAGAGAAATTCCGCGCAGTGCATTAATTCGCACGCGCGGCGAATATTATCTAGTTAATACCAATTTTAGAGTTGACCTTCCTCGAGCGGCTTTAAACTAGGGCGTTACAGTTATCATAAAAGTCTGGCGATTTTACATACGGGGGGAGAGGAGGCGCATACGCGCACGAGAAAACGCGCACCTGCGAAAGTATTACGCAGTATAATATAATATTCCAGAGCGCGAGCAATCGCCATGAAACTTATACAGTCCGAGGCCTTAATACTGAGAGAATTTTCCTGAAGGTTTCCGTACCCGGACTCCAACCGAGGAAACACTAATTATTTCGCAATCTCGGCACTCACCCCATTTCTCGGATAGTGTTGCATTAAGAAAATTAATTTTTTATAGCCGCCCTGTTAAAGGGGATGTGCGTCCTCCGTGTCGGTGAATTGATCCCGGAAGGAACGATAGCAATCGGATGTGAAAAAAAACACAACAAGAGGATTATGCCATTAAGAAAATTAATAAATGGAAACGAAATCTCATGCACGCGCCTCGCGCCATTAAGAAAATTAATTTTCTTGCAAAGCTGTAGCCTGCAAACGCGCGCACACGCTCAAACACAACTTAGACGCGTACAAAATTTTCCTTTATACAATAATCACTTCTAATCCTCTTGGCATTTGTTTCACTGCGTGCAAGTTTACAAAAGAGCACTTGTACGTTGTAATTTGTTCTGTCTGTGTTGAAATTGAATATATATAAAGCGCATTTTCTTCGTTGATCACGTGTAGCGACACAGCGACGATGTATATGTCATAATTGAATCCGCGTTCGTGATGTACCGAGAGACATGGACAACATTGTTAGAAGCGCGATTACTTTCGGCGTGGTTACTCGGGAAACGAACGAAATCGTGATCGAAGTCGAAAGAACCATTCGCCATTCCGCGAAAGATTTGCTCGTCGAGATATGTGCAGCACATTCTAATAGGGTAAACTTGATACGGTGAAAGAAGATGGAGAATACGCGAATAACGTATTTGTCAGAACTCCGGGGCGACGCGAGACGTGTCTGTCGGTATCCCGGAGAGATATTATTCGCGATAGGAGAGAGAGATGAAGGTGTCTCTCCCCAGTACGCGCGCGCGCGCGCGCGAAAATAGGCACTTGGACAGTTGGACAGTTTGTGGTCGCCCAGAAGACGAGCGTCATCGTCGTTCAGGTCTTCGCGGGAATGCGAGGACGCCCGTGCGAGAGATCGGCGGAGGTGCACTGTAGACGGTGAAGGGAAAAGGGGCGAGGGAGAGAGAATCGTCGGCGGGCGGCTTCGCAAGTCAACCCTATTCTTGTCACCCCGAGTTTCTTGACGGCAGGATGACGTCTCTATCGAGTTACGGCTTTGTTTTTGGGTCGGCCAACTCCATCGGCACTTCGGAAGAGAGTCAGGGGACTTTCTTCCTCGATCCTCTACGTCCATGTCGCTCACGAAGGCGGGACGACGCCCCGGCCGAACATTTGTTATGTTGACGATCGCGAATTCTTACCGAGATTCGCTTTCAGCTGGACTTCGGCGAGTTTTTCGTCTTATTACATCGATTTGAGAAAACGTTTAGGAAAAAGACAAAGAAAATGAAACCGCTAATGTATTGAGAATTTGGTTGTAAAGATAAGTTTCACAATCAAGAATTTGAACAATACATTTTCAAACACACACACACACACACATCTTTTTGTTTATGTACAGAAACGGCTGTTGCGTATCCTTGACATCTCATTCTTTAGGTTTGTTTGTGACAATGATCCTGCTTCGTGTAGTTTGAGAAAGGGTCAATCCGACACAAGGCTATCTATCTCACTGTTCGCCTCAACATTCGATAGCACTGAGAGCGTCTATACCGCGCAGTCACGCATCTTCCGCTGTATCTCTGTAATTTACGCTGCACGCGCGCGCGCGCGTATATCATATTATAAGTTCGCGTCGGCGAAACTATCCTTCATGGCTGGTTCCCTTAGCGCGGCGCGTGAGAAATTCTTCCGAGTTTAAGAGAGCGACGCGAAGGAGAGTTGGAACTCGTAGTAACCAATAACGAGGAAGAAAGCTTTCTTTATCTAGGTTGCAAAATCAAATTGCCACCCCACGCCGTCTCGTAGAGCTTCCTCTTCTCGCGCATCCCTTCTTTCACACCCCGCAACTCTATTCGCCATCTCTTTCTCTCTTGCGAATTCTTCACACTTCTCTTCACAGCCACTCGCCGAGTCGCGCTCGTGAAAGCATTTCGTTCGAGCACCCGACCGCTATTCAAACCCCACGCCGAAGTTAAGAACTCGCTGATGAGGTAAATCAAACGTTCGCCGAGAAAACAATTCCTTCGGCATTCTAATGACCGCGCATTTCATTTGAAAGTCTTGCAAAAAAAATTTTGATCAAAAGCTCGGATATATTTTTTGGAGCGAGCGAGAAAGCAATTCGGATTTTATCTGAAAAAAACACGAGATGTACATCTTGCGCAGAGATCAGATTCTAAATGACGCTGTTTTTTGTTTTTTTTCACTTTAAACAATAAAGACGTTTTAAAGCAAAATGAAGCAGTTCCGTTCAACTCGCGGAAATAAACCTCGAAATTGTCGTAATTCAGTTAGTCTTAAAAATTAGATTTAGAGATTTGGTTCGCCGAGTTCTCTGTCACAGTACGCTACATCGAGCGATAATCGGTTTAAAACGAGTCGTGCGATTCCGAGCGTCTTTGCGTGTCACACACTTCATCGAAAAGAGATTTTAAATCTCCTAGAAATTTCAGTAGATTTTGCACGTCAAAATTCGCTTCGTATGTAGTCCGTGTAATTTCTGACGTCATTCGTGAACTTCTTCTCGTGCGTTCATAATATCACGCTATCGAGGAGCGAGAGAGAGAAAGAGAGAGAGAGAGAGAAGCGCGCTTTGTTCCGCCCGTGCAACTTGCCGAGGAGACGAAGTTTGTAGTAAGAACATCCGTCGAGAACTGCCGTCACTTTCTCAACAGTTTGCAAGTAGCTGGCAAACGTTTCTGCGGATGCGCCGATTCGCAAATAATTCGCGAACAATTTTTTCGTGTACACTGGTTGTTGCACGCGCAAATCTAATATCATAAACGCCGCGTGAGAGTATACGTATATTTATTTTCTAATAAAATTCTAAAACTATTTGTCGGATGAGAAAATAGAAAATTACGATGCGTATAAACGAAAGAAGGTAAATTTAAATATAGAAATGTGGCTCTACAAAAGAGAGAGAGAGCAACAGGTAACGCACCCTTGCTGCAGGTATTAAACTCTACGACGCGTTAGCGCGTAAAATGAAAATAAATAGCAATGCTAGTTGGCTATTAGCTTACGAAGAAAGCTTGGTAAATTACAGCAAACTTGATATTTCACAGAAAATGTATAATCAGTTCGTTTCTACTATATTATAATGTTGTATCTTTTAATTTAGTTGAAAATAAGTCACGGAAAAACATCGAATACTCTTTCTCAGACACATTCCACAATTTTTTAAATTACATTCAGAATTCAGGCGTTTCTGTGTTTTTAATCTGCTTTAAATTGTTCGTCATGAAACAAGGACGGCTATGCAAAAAAAAAAAAACAAAAAAAACAAAAAAAAAACAGAAACAAACATGCATTTCTCAGCATGCGCAAGAGAATAGACTGACGAGGTGACTCGAACAAGGACACGAGCAGACAAGCGGCAAGGCAGACCGGGGGAGTAACTTAAACAGCGGCTAACAAGAAGTAGCAAGTCATAATTGAGTCGGCCAAGTATGGCGAGATCCATGAGGTAGTAGGTGGAAAGCACACCGCTACCGACATACCTGACCGGAATTTGAAAACAGGTGGAGTAGTTCTTCGGTCTCCAGGTCTCAAGATGGTTTCCGCTAGTTCGTCGTCGATCGAATGGAATTCGGATGTTTCCCGGCATATTAATGTTATACGCGCAAATATTCGGGCTCAACTACGGCGAGAGAGGAAACTGACGTATAATGATGGAGTTCCAAACCAAAGTTTAGAAAAGTAGGATTTCGCGATTTGAAGAGATTTAACATGCTTTTTCTCTCTCTTTCTATTATAAAATAAAAAAATTTAACTTATATTTTATAATTAAAAAGATTTTAATTGTTTCTTTGTCGCATTAACAAAATCTATTTTTATATATGTATATATTTCATAACTTCATAAATTTCACAGATTTTTATATTGTTCTCTTTCTCTCACGATTGTGGAAGACAAAAAGAATCGGTAAGTCACATGTCAGGCGAGTCCTGCCGAGACTTTTTTTTTAGACCGGCCAACAGACGGCGCTCGCGCTGTATCCTAATTCCAAGAATTATGCGGTGGTGATCAATGCAAATGACATTGATGGGCAGGAGCCGGCCAGGATCTGATCAACGATAACGGGACAAATCGATGCAAAAATGTCGCAGGGCAACTTGCTGCAGGAATATAACTGTGAGTAAAACCATCACCTCTTGTTACTCCTCTCGCTAAACGAATCTCGGATCCTGCGAGCGGACACATCCCGTGCGCCGTCACATTATGAAAAATGAGCTCTGATAATGGCGGCTTTCGTTTATTTAACGCCAGACAAAAAAAGCTGAAATCCCAACCGCGAATCGCGACGGATCTCGTGACGCACGGAGAACGCCCCGTGCGCGACCGGTTGACGTGATAATTACAAGAATTTGCGACAAAACAGATAATTAACGCATTGTGAATATAATTGTATACATATAATATAATTGTACACATTTTACAATACTGAGATATCCTAGTGTGAATTTTCGGAGTTACTGCTACTTTTCTCAGGATGCTGTTCGAAGTACGTCTTAATAACCGTCGAGTATATAGGCACAATCTAGCTACGTATTATCACACATTCTCGTATGCAGAGTTTGATAATCTGGTATTTGAGATTATAGGTTGAAACATTTTGTAAGGAGTGTAACTGCTCCGAAAAATAATATATCGGCAGAGAAAAAATAACAATAATGTTTTTTTTTTTTAATACAAAATAGAGAAATACAAAGAAATCAACTTGTAACTTAAGTAAGTTACATATGTTTTGTTATTTTATTTACTTTTTTCTGCTCTAGACTCTTGATTTTTAAAAAAACTAATTACAGACAATCAAGTAAATCGAGACATAGTCGCGATAGTAAAATAACTTAATTAAGAATTAATTAAAAACTTAAACTTAATTGTCAATGTTTGTTTACAAACTGAAACACGTGTTCAAGAATTAAGCGATGCTGCGTACTTTGTGCACCAAAACATTTATGCATAATTCGCAAGGAGTAAGAACCTCTCCAGACAGATGTTTGCGCGGTGTAATATTATTGCTCGCATTTGTGTGTATTATGCGTGCGCGCGTGAGCATGTATGCGTGAGACTCGAAAGCTGTGCTGTGTCTACCGAGCGCTTCATGACAAAACGTCGCTCGAGATGCCATCACCCGATTAGCCGCGGTTACGTAACCCAAACAATGATAATGCACACATACTTTTTCTAAGCGAATAAATGTCAATATCCTATAGAGACAAGAAAAATCACATTGTAATAGTTTTGCTCTGCTTTATTGAATCAGAATGTTATTTATTTAAATACAAATGCGTATGTGTGTATTTAGTAACAGAAATAATAATAAGAATAATAACAAGAGAAGCTTTATTGAATCAGAATGTTATTTATTTGAATACAAATGCGTGTGTGTATTTAGTAACAGAAATAATAATAAAAATAGTAACAAGAGAGGAAAATTCAATAAATAAATTTTTTCCAGAAACAAATTTGATTTTATCATTAAGAATAAAATTTAATTTCAACATTCCATAAAATACATATGATAAAAAATGTATTCACTCAAAAGAGAAAATTTACTCCGTATTCGTTTTTAGACGCGTAATCAAGATTGATATAAAAAATATATCCATGTGATAACAATACAATTATTACAATAAGATTATGATATAATCTTTGAAGATTTATCCGAATATTTTTCCAATTTCATAGGGGAAACTCAGTATAACGATCCGCAGATGCAATTTTCTCGTCCCATTTCGGACGAAGTTATCAGGTAAGTTCACAATCTCGGCTCTCTCTGATATAGAAATGACTAACATAATTGCATTATTTTACTGTTTTTTACAAAGAAAAGAAATTTTATTATATTTTTACATACATATCGCATTACGTTTGTTGCAATTTGATACTAACTTTTTGTTTAAATTTAAAATCAACGGCGGCAACTCAGCGTTTACGAGGTTTTCGTGAAAGAAGAGTCGGGGAGTTCTAACTCGAAAAATGACAATGTACAGAACGCGTCGGGATTAGAACCTGCTGCCAATCAGCAATTGATCCAAGTAATTGATATCAACAAATTGAGAAATACCAGTAACAATGAGAGCTACTTAAGACCGTATAAATTCGATTCCAAGGGTGACTACGTAGACCTGGATACAGCCATCGATTCCGAAGTGATCAATATCGACGGCACCGTCACAAAACTCCTCGGCAAAGACGCGTTAAGGTACAAAGTAAGTGCCGAAGTAAAGTATTTTAAATATTTGTCGAACTATTAGCGCGGCAAGTTGTTTGCTGAGAGCGAGTGCATATCGTTACACAGCAGCAGTTTACATGAAATATTTCACCTCCCCGTGCGGCGGGCACGCTCTTCGTTTATCTACTTGCCCTTTTCTTCTTACTTTGAAGAATTTCATTTGCATACGCCCGTTTTTATAGTTTTATGCACCGAAGTATTTGCCTATCTGCATCGCGATACAGCATAATTGTGAAAGTATTGTTTTAAAACTGCACTTCTACACGGCATAACGCTATTCCGAAAGTTGCAGCGAATTGTATATATACAACAATTTAACTTTGCAGCATTTCTTAATCGTAAATACTTTCTAGGTTTTTTATGCATTTTCTGCGCGATGGAAAGTAGTTGGTTTTTTTTTTTTCAATTTATTTGAAATTTTCACTTTTTCAGATGCTGGAGCAAAATGCTAACGCGCCAGACGAAAATGTCATTATATATTCACACCCTGTCGCCGAGGGTCCTTCCTCCTCGACACCTCGACTTATTGATAAAGATGATCCGCGATCCAGATTGCACTTTGTAAAATATCTGAAACGCGATGGAAAGACGCTTAAGATTTGGGAATGTGGCATTTGTATGTAACGCTTTTTTATTTATAAAACAATATTTAAATCCTATTAGATATTTTTAAATAAATAACAGTCATCTGTGTTTTCGCGCATCTAATTTACCAATCGGCTTATTTCGAACGAAATTCCAAAATAAAACTAATAAATCTTATAGTTTTCAAGAAAGAAATGCGATTAAGAATTTTTCATTCGATTCCGCACCGTAGCGAATAATTACTTTTTAATGTTGACTCGAGGAGATCGGTAGCTTATTTTTGCCATGAGAAACTTTCACGTTTAATATTCGAATCAGGTTCAAAAGAGTTCCGCCATCAGTACACCTTGATGAGACACTTGCCGACTCACACCGACGAGAGAAACTTTAAATGCGAAGCTTGCGGCAAAGCTTTTCGCCAGTTGTCAACATTGAGTCAGCACAAGGCTATACACAGCGACGCCAGGCCCTATGTGTGCGAATTTTGCAAGAAGACATTTAACAGGTTCGCGATCTCGAGGAGCAGATCTTGAAATTTTACCGTTTTTTTTTATATAAGAGATAAAATAGCAAGCAATATTTATTTACAATATTTATTTATTGGAAATCGATCTGTGTCACGTATTCGAGTATACCTTAGAATAATGTGATTTTCACAGAGTGTCTACGTTGATTTCCCATCGGAAAACGCACTCGGAACACAAACCGCACAAGTGTCACGTGTGCGGTAAAGGATTTCATCAGAAGGGTATATACGTACATAACATAAATTATACGTAATAATCCACATTATTACGAGCGGTCAAATCCTTCCGAATGCGCAACGATTGTAAAAGCTTCTTCTTTCTTTTCTATGTTTATTTATAATAAAGTATTTGTCTGGTTAATCAAAAAACTGTTTTTCAGGAAATCTGCGGAATCACGTTTTCACGCACACGAACGAGAGGCCGTACAAATGCGAGCTCTGTGGCAAAGGCTTCAATCAGATGTCGAATTTGGTCTGTCACAAGGTGAAGGCGCACGCACACATTGACAAGAGTATGCAGTACTCATGCGGGGTTTGCGGCAAGGAATTTCCTCGCAGGTTCGCTTTGCGATCGCATGAGGAATACAAGCACGGCATAAAATATCGAAGCACGAGCAATGCGCAATCCGCTGTGAACGAGCCCGATAATCCGAAGAGGTATGTGTGAACGTTTTCGATGACGCGATAATTAATACAAAGCGAAAAAAAAAAAAAAATGATGAAATGTAATGAATGTATAAACGATCGAAAAAATCATTGGAATTTGTCTGCTATAAATATTTGCAAAACTTTGCGCGTGTGAAACTCGAAATTTGAAAAACGTATTTAATTAAAAAATATTAATCTGTTATGGATTGTCACTGGTATTTTTATCGCAAAAGAGAGGTTTTTTTAAAGAAAAAAAGAAAAACAATTTAAATGAAATTAGTTGTAATTTTACGTACTGAATTCTTGCAAATCTCTCTTTCTCTTTCTCTTTCAATTTATTTTTGACAGTAGTTCAATAGACAGTCGAAGCGTTTAATTGTTATTTTACACAATATATAAAGTTGATTTAATTATAGATATCTCAATGTGTGTGATGTGGGTAATAAATTTTCAGCAAGAACGTTAGAATCATACAATTGACTAATGGCAGTCGAAATCAGATGAGTGAAAGCAAAGAGAAGGAATATTTCGGTTCGGTTCGTATATATTTAATTTACAACGAATAATATAACGAATTGAATTGCGTAATTAGTTTTGGATTATTGTTTTCATGTAAAGTCGGATTTGATGGACAGCATTGTGATAGAAAAGATCGATACAAAAGCGATGGAGATGGCGGTGCTGCAAGGGCAGACTCCTTTCGCTCTTTACAAACCCGCCAAAGGTATACCGATTCTCGTTAAAGTCTCGTCAACCGCAAATAATAAGCACGTAAGTATATTTACGTTATCAAGAGAATTAGATTGTTTTACAAAATTTGAGATAAAAAAAAAAAAAAAAAGGCGAAAGCATTGACATATCTGTGTTATCGTAAAATAAATAAGTCACATATAATTTATTTATTGATTGGCAAGTAAAACTCACGAACTTACATGTGATTATAAATCTTGAAATCTTGTAAAGTTATATGATGTAAAGCTAATTTAAAAATTTTTTATCTCTTCTTCTTAAGAAGAGAAAGATTTTACTTTTATGTGTACGTTTTAACGTAGTTGATAAAACTCGCGATCTTCTTGAGTCCGCAAGAAGCTAGTTAAAAGTTGTATCTTCAATACTACAGTAAATAGGTGTTTCGCAAGTGTTGTTTATCTTGTCGTCGCGACAATTTAGCTGACTGCGACGGAACGTTTATTGATGATTTTTCATAATAATTAACATTTTTTAATATCTATCTATTTATTTAAGAATATTATGCACATCGGATTAATTATATTTGTGTAGATACTTACACCCGCAACTGGCGAGGATTTGCGAATGGCAGGAAAAATCACTATCAGTTCCAATGAAACTTCAGACGGTGATTGTAACAAGGCTGTTCAGGTGAAGGTGCCGGTTGTTGCTACAGTGATTCAAAACATCGAGATCGATGGCAAATCCAGCTTCGTCATTGAGCCTCCGGGTACAGAACAAGAGCAAGGTAAAACTCTCCTCGTTATTTCCGCAAAATGTCTTTGGGTAAAAGCGATGTTTTAAATTTATCGCCGTCAGATGGTCTGGTGACAGCGTTGGACTCGCTCTCCGACTTCGGTCGCAACGAGCCGGAAAAATGGACAAATGGCCAAAATGGTCCGAACTCAACTACGCCGATGGACGAGTACAACGAGTACAACGAGTTGCTGGAGTTGGCTGCGCAGGGTGGAATACAGTTTGTTCGCGCTACAGAGGATGGTCATTACGAGGTAATGGAGAAACAATTGTCACATTCGCTTATGAATGTGTGTTAGCACATAGTCTGATAACATGGTCGCATTTGGCTCGAATGGTTCTTTTTGTTAAAAAGTAAATTTTGCTTTTCTAATTGTTTTGTTTCTCGTAATTCACTTTTCCGTATTATATTTTGTAATAAAAAGAAATAAGTTTTTACAGAAAAAAGTAACGTTAAGTGTTTCAAAATATAACAACGTCTTTTTTCCGATGTCTTTATCTACGAAAAGGTGACGTACTTTTCTACGCGTATTGGCATTACAGCGTCGACGTCTTTTCGATCGACTTTTCGATCTTCTATACGCTCGACACATTTAGAGTATTCACGTCAGGCGCTTTCATTCCTTTACATAGATTTCTCTATTTAGAGAACGACAGAGAACTGCCGCGTTTGCGAAACGTGCGCCGTGAAACGGGCTTATAGAAATAGCGATGCTAGAATTCATCTTTTGGCGCATCTTCACAAATTAGCTTTAGAAATCTGGTTAGTTTTAACGTTTATTAATGTTACACACACGTAGTATTAAATTTCAACTGATTAAGTTCTAATGTTCATTGTAACTCTAATAGAATTTTATCGGTAGAATTGATTAACGTATAGGCAATAACACCAGAATGTCTCAAAAACTATCGGATATTTTTATGGTAACATTGTGAGACGAAAATGTTTTTAAATAACGAAATTGACGAGAGGTTGCAATAGATGGTTTTAAATAATATGCAGTCACGTCTTGACTCATATTATTGTGATAAATTATTCGGATCATGACGAAGAGCTTTCGACAGTTCAATGCTTCTGCTATTCTCCGTCCGTTATTCTCGACCGCAGGTTATGACGAACAGCGAGGCTCGTGACTTAATGGCGCAGAATTCCCACGACGTAACGATTCTTGACGACGAACAGGCGGACGCCATCAATCTCGTGAATATACGCAATAATGGTGACGTCATCATCGGCGACAACGATAATCAGATCATGGTGCTGGAATCCGGCCAGAAATCCAGTAATATGCCAATGGACGACATCGAGATTCTCGAGGACAAAGACATTAGGATTCTCGAGGGTAAAAGCCCCGACGATCGTTTCATGGATGGCATAACATTCCTCTCCCAGACCAAAATCGACGACCTCCTGCTGGGTCCCAAATCGTTGGCTATCGACGGCGATAGTGCCTTAACCGGGCACGAAGATGGTAGGTGAATTTGCCACAACGTTTCACAATGTATACAAATTTTTTAGATTTGAAAGAGAATTGTCGAACATCTCTCCAAGTATACTATTAATTAATACTTTAATGAAAACTCAATCAAAACTTTTTTGAGCTAATTCGTAATTTAAGCAGTCTAATAATGAATTGAACATTCAGATTGTTAAAAGTTACCGTAAAACATACGGTTACAGTTTACGTTTAAGTTATGGCTGCATTTAGCGCCAAGACGTGTGTACACAATGACATGTTAATAACTTTTGTTAATGGCTGTCGATCCCAGCAATGGTTGTGCCACCGAACCAGCAAGACCTAACGAGCATCTTGGGTCACTCCTCGAATCTATCCACTAGCTCGCAATCCTCGTTATCGTCTTTGTTAATGAAGAACCATCCGCCATTACCGCTGTTGAACGAGACACTCCCATATCTGAAGAGCAGTCAGAGCTTCACGGAGGATCTAGACATTCTCGGCATCTCCTCCGTGGAAGATCATCACCTGGAGTACGACTCGAAGATGAAACTGTCCTCGGTCTTCGACGACGATTGCGATATGACCGGTTTGATGACCTTCGGCCAACAAGATATGAAGATATTCGATTCCGGGAATCAATGCATGAAAGTACAATCATTGAAAAAATTGTGTATGAATAGAATTCGAGCTTATTGAAAATAAGAAAATAAATATTACATAACGAATTTCAACAGTCTTTCAACAACAAGATGATGCCAGCTCCGAGATTATTTCCCGGTATGAATGAGGTGAAGATCGTAGGGCCGAAGCATCATAATCACGAACTGATCAACCCGTACTATCAAGAAAACAGAGTTCTCAGTCCCTTCGAGCAGTTCCTCAAGAGTTTACAGACAAACGGTTACGCACCAAACGCTGCCGACACGTCCGATGGAAGCAGAAAAGAGGTAAAAATACTCGGCAAGAAATTCAGTACCGGAATTATCACCGAAGAAGGTGACATTGTGCAAATTATCGATGAAAAATCTAAATTTGTAAGTAATTTTATCACACGATTACTAATTTTGCGTATTACTTGACGAGATACTTGATGTTTGTCGCCGTATATACATAGGATACCAACAACGCGATGGATTTCTGCGACAACGTCTTGCAGCAGTGCGCGGGCATGTCATCGCCGCGACGACTGTATCGGCAACCAATGGAAAACGACGTAGCGGACAGCTTCTTGCTCCAAGTAAAAAAAGAGTGCTCTTTCGAGAGCTCTTTTGAGAGTAATTACGACGTATACGAGAGTATAAACGACGAAAAAGAGAACATTTTTCCGAACCTATACAGGCCGGAAGTCCCTGCGGCTCCGATTTTCTGAATTTCGACAATCGTTTTGCCGGCAAGCATCTGTCGTCCGACAGCCATCTCGATAGGAGCCAGAAAGAGGATGGTCGCGGAGATAGTTTTGAATCTACGGAAGTGTTGAGTCTGGACTGACGGAGCGCGCGATCAACGACGAAACGGACTCTGCCTTTCCGGAGTCCACTTATTGTTTTGCGTCATTGATATCACTTAGTGGAAAAAATATTCACGCGTTGTTTCGATCCTCTTCGTTGCACGTAAAGAGGATAAAGATGATGAGATGTGAAATTTATATGACGAGAGGTGCGTATATTGGTATTTTTATAGTTTTTTTGTTTGTCACAACAAAGATTGGATCCCATTTAAATGCGACAGATCCGTACCTTCGTTTACGCACTTTTATTTGCCAATTTTGCTATTAAATAGTAAGCGAGTATTATGTAAGAATTGTGCTAATATATTTTTGAAAATATGTAATTGATTCTCGCAACAACTGCTAATTGAGAATGAAATATCTCCGGGAAGATAATTTATATAATTCTTCGCTATTATGGAGAGATTATGTGAATATAATTTTATGAAATGTACTTGTGTAAATTGAAGTATTCAATCTCTCTCACAGATATTTCTATAATCGTCTTGCTCTGATCTTTATACGATTTCTTAAATTGCGTTATATATATATAGTCTTTCTTAGTTTCTACACTGATTTATGTAATGTGATTTGTGTATAAATCAAACCAGTGTTTTATATTCTCAGACTTGGCGCGCATGTGTACGTTGTGAACAGTAAAAATTTATAAAAAATATACGAAAGTCTTCGGATTTTTTTTCTTGGATAATGGAAAGAGAGTAAAATACGTTGGGGTGATAAAATAAATCCGTCAGAGAGCGTGAGAAAGCAAAATCCCAACCTAGTGGTATTTTTAATAAATACGCGGGATAGAGAGATACGAAAGACTGCGGTATTCCGATACGAAGGTTATTTAGATTTATTCGCGAATTCTTGACTTGGCAATATTTTCTCCGCGCGCATGTGCCAATATCAATAGGTGGAGTGGTTAATACCGTCTGCCTTGGCATCCATCCTTACTACTTGATAGTCAGCTACCAACGCGCTGTCTTATACATATATATATAATATATATATATATATATAGCAACACTTGTACAAGCAATCTGCTCTCACGGTTTACAAATTGCGTTTAATTTACAATTAATAAAGTGAAGTGCATATTTATCAGTAATTCACTTATATTCATTTTATTAGATATTCAATCTCTCTCTCTCTCTCTCTTTTGTGTTCATTAATAATCGTCAATCTCAACCTCTCACATTTCTCTCTCTCTTCTATTATAAAATATTTTACTAAATGCATATATACACTACTTATGTCTAATTTTATCTTATTATTTATTTAATTGTGAGTTTCTTTCTTTATCACTTGGTAAAACTCGTGATATTGATAGCAGTAAATGCGCCATATCATTTCTTCCGTTTAATACGGTTTGACTTAACGTTTATCTTCACTACTTGATAGCGGCAGCTCGTAGAAGCTAAATTTAGATAGCATGGAAAAGACTTGTAGCATATTATGGAAAAAAAAACACACACACACACACACACATACGTTAAATCGATATAAATGTAATGTAGATTGCAATAAAGAAGAGTAATGTTGCATTTTCATAAATCGAGATAAAATAATGGAACATTTTCCCGCGATGGAAAATGTTCAGATTTTTCTTGAAAGGTTTTTTAGATAAATCGAGACTATTTTTTTCTTTCAAGATTTTTATTAGAACGTTTATTCACAAGTTTTTAATAATATTTTGCAGAAACGTTTCTCATTAAAAATATTCAATAAAAATCTAATAAATCGTCTAAATTAATTTTTTTTGCTTTAGTTCGTAATGAATAAAATTACTGTGTGCATTATATTTAGCACTTCTAAATAACATTTCAACTGAAATTTGCAGTGGAAACACGTTGACGCTTACGAAAGCGACGCATGTGCGCGAGCAAACGTGTCGGAAAATTTACTTTTCTTCCGCAAAGAGCCAGCAGCCCGCCGTCATCGCACCTCGCAAATACGCAAAAATTAAGTTGTAAAAGTCGCTCCGAATCGCTCGCGCTTTCCAGCCACGTCTGCCGCGAGGAGGAGCGAATCCCACGGAAATTCCATTCGTTCTTTCTCCTCCTCTTCCTCCCCGCCTTTCTGCCGTATCCCTCTGCCTTCACGGGGCTCTCATCATGGGGGTGGTGAGGAGAGGGGAGGTGAGAATTCGTGCCTTTTCTCGGCTGCTTTGCATCGAATTATTTAAAAATGCACCCGACGTCGCGAGAAACATCTACTTAACTCGAAGGCGTCGGGACGTTCTTAACGCGTCGGGAGTACCGTGAGAACAATGGCGTTAACGACGACTCGGTCGTCGGTCTTGCCTTACTTACAAAGAACGAAGAATTCGAAATCCTTGAAAAGCCGGTCGGAATGTTTACAACTGCTCTTAACTGATGTTGCCCACGCCGAGGTATTTTCATCGTTCTGTCCGCGCATAGCTTTTTCATAGCTTTCGCGTAAGAGGAATTCCCCTTTTATTCAGCGATTTACAATAACACACGTACATAAAATTCTGACGACTCTTTCTACTAATTCCAATAAATCCATTTCCGGAATCTGCTGGTTTATTCGAGTGAGAAAAAAAATCAGCGGAAATGCGTCGCCACACGGAAAATAATTTGAATTTGGCCTCGTTCGGCTAATTGCATTTTTGCGCGGAACAGAAGCAACGAGTGAAGCCCCCTCCCGAAATGAGCGTTCGTGCTTTACAACGCGTGTTTGCTTTACAACGCGTAATTGCGGCGGAAAATATTGCTCAGCGCTAGATCACTCGGTGCGTTATATAGAGCAGTGGCGTTTTCCCCCGCCGTACAAGCGGGGAAAGGAACGCGGCTCGTCGTTTTCCAACGGCGAGATTTCTCCCGCGAGTATAACTTTCGCGAGCGAAACGGCCCCGCGGATTATCTGAGGAAGTGCGAAGAGGCTTTTAACTCGGTATAATTTATTTAAAAGCTGGGGTCCCGAGCGGCTGGCCGCGAAAGGGGAATCTCCGAAGAAACAGCCTTAATTAGCACGGACTTTCTTACCACCGCGCAGCAGATTCCTCCGTAATTTTCGCAGATGAGAACCGGCGCGATCCCACTTCTCTCCTTGCACCTTTTCCTCGTCTCTCCCCTCGTCGACCCCTTGCATCTTCTTTTTTCTTCTCTACTTTCTACTTTACGATTTCGCTTTATTCTTCCAGCCCCGACGCCGCCGTATGCCGCCGTTCTATCCAAACGCGTTTGACGATCTTTAATAAAGGAAACTTCTCGATGTTGATTAAATTCCCGCAATTAAGAGGAGCGCGATACCCAGTCGCGCGCGAACGCGAGGATTTAACGTGCGGTAGTCCAAAAAGTCGGAATGTAATATGATTTTCCTCGATTTCCACGGACTTCGCGTAAAATTTGTCCGTCTCACATTTATCGCGCGTAATACGCAGAATTGATTCCGGCGGTTAGTGAAAATTTGATGGAACGATTTTAATTCGAAACGCATTAGCACTGACTCAAAAGAATAAATATTCTCGTGAATTGAAGCTCGAAAAAAAAAAAAAAAAAAGAAACGCGTAGCGAAATGCCTTGCTTTTTAATTAATCTCCTACTCCGCTTTATTCGAAATTTCGCGCGAATTTTTTGCTTGTTCCGCAAAGAGAAGCAAGCTTGTACGTTCGAAATTAAATATTTTCTGTCATTTGTGTGTATCCTCGCTCGCTCTTATAGCACGGGATATCCGCTGGAGGATGGATCGAAAAGCCTGTTCGGCAAACTTGACTGAGACGGGAGGACGTCCGTGTGCGCACGTCGTCTCTGACGACTTTTCTTCCTAACAAAGTCAATTGACGGCACCGCCGTAATGTGCCGCCTACTTTGGAAAATTCACTTTGAATTTTGCCTCCTTCACAAGCTTTTCCTTTCTACTTTCCACGGGACATTACTTCGCCCGTGCGGCGCGCGCGCTGCTGCCCTCGCGAATTACCTCGTCAAGAATTCAACCCTCATACACAGCCATTTCGCAAATTCGATCTTCTTCGGTGAGTACACGAGACGCGGCTGTTTTTCGAGTTTCTCGACAGAGAGAGAGAGAGAACGAACGAACGAAAGAGAAAGAAAGAAGCAAGCTAGTCAGTTGCCAATAACGTAACTAAACTACCTCTTGCAACTAACAAAATACCAAAAAAATTCAAAAAAACAGATACATTAACTGAATCTCTATTTGTGACCAAAAAGAAAAAAAAATTACGCGTCGACGGGATATTTTTTCACAAACAATCGTTGAGTGTTGTTTGCGATTATCACATGTAAAATAAATCGCGATATTCCGTTTTTCGAATTTTGGAGATACACAAGTGAAGTGATCACGAAAGTAGTCACATGATCTATTTTGCTGTGACGTCGATAGTTGGTCGAGAGACGGTGTCAAGGTCGCGCGAAATTCGTTCCGTGGTTTTGCTCTTTTTCGAAATAAACTCGGAGCACATTCGAACGTCAGAAATGTCAATGTCATCGATAAGTAATCATTCAAGACTATTAATAGAGCTCAATTAACACGGCACGATCGCGACTATCTCTTAGTGAAAGTAATATATTCGTCGCGCTTGGCGGAGCGTCGCGGTGGCGCCACGAGAATCAACGCGAAGTTCTCTCCGCGTTTTTCGAAGATTATCGTCAGGAATGTTGCGAGTGTCGGGAGTGCCGAGTAACGTTAAGGGCGATATCATGTTTCGATTCATGTTGTTTATTTCGAGAGATAAAGTTTCGTATAATCGGGAGTTTTTTGAACGCAGTATCGGTCGCGTGCGTGGCAGTTCAGTGATGATTTTCTTGCTGGAAGATTTTTAAATCGCGATGTTGTTCGTTTCATCGCGCAACACCAAATTATTGTCGCGATTAAGATTTGCAGTTCAGCAATATCGATCCGTAATAACAAATACAAACCATATAATACACGTGTATGTGAGAGATGTGAAAAATAACGCATGAAAATCAAACTTGAAAAATAGAGTCACGTGACTTCGTTGCGCGTAAACTTGGCGCGAGGCACTACCATGCTTCTCGATAACCGAGATTGTTTACGAGTTATATTTCGCGTTGAAAGAAGATCGTTACAGAACTCGAATACAAATTGATCAGTCGATCGTAAGCGAAAATTATTGCAATCAGTGTAACAAGTGTGTGTTGGAGCAATGAGAAACATCAACCGATGAGTAAATTTACTTTTCATGCGAATATTGATTTTGTTGCACAAAGTAAACAAATTAATGATAGGCAACATTAACATATATGTGGATAGAGAGTATGATGAAAAGAGTATATTTTTATTTGTTTTTAAAAACAATTGTAACACTTTGTGTGCGTATGAACACGTTTATTTAAAATGTGTCTGAAATCAGTTGCTTCTTTACCGCGTTTGCGCGTATGAAACTCGGCACTTGTTCAATTTTTATTCACGACCGGAATAAGGTTACGTGTTAAACAATTCGATTTCTATACGAGCATAAATCGTAAACAAGAAAATATGTACCTATTAGTGCAATTAATATTTTTTGTTGACAAAAACATAAACACACAATCGTCACACTCGATCAATATTTTGCTAGTTTTACTGACAATTACACATACGTTATACAGACAGTTTTACAGACATTTAATTATACAGCGAATTAGATAAATTCAGACTCGGTTTTCCGATTATCATATTTCTCATTTAATATTCGTACTACGAAGTTCCCTTTCCCATAGAATTCAAATAGAATTTGTCAGACGGTTGTTGACGTTTCTTCATTGGCTTCACTTTGGCTGACCACGAACATTTCTTATTGCTCACACAATCAGATGAAACCGTAGAACGTAGTGGCTTTTCCACTGACGATAG